TCCGCCACTGTTGTCCTAAAAAAATAATTAGTTTAAATTAAATAACTAATTTACTATAACACAACTGCATTAGAAATTTTGAGGTTAGAGACGTTCAAAGAAAATTCTACAAGGGAAAATTTTGCTGACTTTTCATTCTTATTATTGATCATAGATCTTGAAGAGGGAAAATTTGAGCCCCAACAGACAGCTTTAGCAGCGGTCAGAAAAGGATCCTGAGGACTGAAGTTTGAAAGTTGAAATTGTGACATTATTGTTGGGAAAGTATCCTAAAAGAAATGGTGTCTTCCAAATCTTCAGTTTCTCATCCTATCAATGGCAGGCTTTATCTTGCTTCTGCTTTGCTCCTTTTTGTGGCCTCATATAACAGGATCGATTGCAGTGGACAGCTTAAAAACAACTCATTCTATTAGAGATGGTGACACCTTAGTTTCAGCCGGTGGAATATTTGAACTTGGATTCTTTAGCCCTGGTTCCAGCAGCAAAAGATACTTGGGAATATGGTATACGAATTCTGTCACCACCGTTCCATGGGTAGCTAATAGGGAAGTGCCCCTCAATGATACATCAGGTGTTGTAGAAGTTACCAACCAGAGAATTCTTGTCCTACTGGATGGTAATGGGAGCACTGTTTGGTCTTCCAATTCATCGAGAACTGTTCGTAGCCCAGTTGTGCAGCTCTTAGACTCAGGAAATCTTGTTGTGAAAGATGAGGGTGACAATAATCCAGGAAGCTTCATTTGGCAAAGTTTTGATTATCCAAGCGATACATTCGTAGCAGGCATGAAGATTGGAAGGGACTTCAGAACAGGCCTGGATCGTTACCTATCATCTTGGATAAGTCCCGATGAGCCTGCACCAGGAAAGTTCACATATCGGTTTGAGCTTGGCGGATTTCCGGAGGTTATAGTTAGAGAGGGTTCCACTGTGAGATTCCGGTCCGGACCTTATAATGGTGAGCGGTTTAGTGGTTTGCTTGAAATGAGGGAAAACCCCATGTCTACCTTTGATTTTGTTTTTGATGACAAGGAACTATATCTAACATTCAGTCCTCGCAACAGCTCAATTCTTTTTAAGGGGTGTACTCAGTAGTCAGAATGGAGCTATAGAACCCTTCATTTGGATTGATCCAAACCAAGGTTGGATACAAAATCTTCCACTTTACGTGGATAACTGTGACAGGTATGCATTATGTGGTACAAATGGTATCTGTGACAACAAGAAGTCCCCTGTATGTAGTTGCATCACAGGATTTGTACCAAATAATCCAAAGGAATGGGATGCAGTACCAGGGTCAGGTGGTAGTGTGAGAAAGACTCAGCCAAACTGTTCTGGAGATGGATTTGTAAAGGTCTCGCAGTAAAGGTGCCAGAAACAAAACATTCATGGTATAATTACAATATAAATTTAGAGGAGTGCGAAAAACTGTGCTTGGCGAATTGCTCGTGTACGGCTTATGCTAATTTGGACATAACAAATGGAGGAAGTGGATGCTTGCTCTGGTTTAATGACCTCATTGATATAAGATATTTAACTGATAGTGGTCAAGATATCTATGTTAAGGTTGCTGCATTGGAACTAGGTATGAAATATCCTCAATCCTCAAAACTTTCTATCACAGAATTTTTAAGCTTTTGTTTATGCTTTGTATCTCATAGCATTCGAATATTTGTTCAATTATGTTTCAATTAGAAATGAGATCTTGCTTTGTAGTAACTGGGTTGAGTTGTAACCCAACTGACCATTTGATAAACATGATACTAAAAATTTTGAATTTTCTTTTTTTTTTTTTAATGATTTTCTGCTATGATTTGCTTTCCATATAGATCAAAATGAGAGCACAAGGAACAAAGCGAAATCCAATGCCAACAGACGTCTCAGATCAACCTACCTGTCTCGATTCACACCTTTGTAAGGTATTATCCGCTCTGACCCCCTGGTTTCAGGATTTTGTCTTTCAAAAGATGCCTCACAAGGTTGAAGTGGTGTGAACCATTTTATACCCCAATAACCCTCTTATTATGTTCGATGTGGGATTCATAACTCTTCTTTAGGTCCGTGATATTCTTCCTCACCCAACCTCGTGATGCCTTCATCATGGAGGTTGGCCACTCTGCCTATCTCTCTTGAGGTGCTTGGCGTGGATCGAACGGTATAGGGCTGGCTTTGATACCACTTATCACGGGTCGAGACTTAAGCTCCGAACCCGCGCAGCTCCGGGATCCTGGCATTCACCATTCCAGCATCCCAAATCAACCTAACTACCACGGTTCACATCCTTGTGAGGTATTATCCGCTCTGACCTCCATGATATATTTATATATTAAATATATTAAAATATTAAATTATATTTATATATTAAATATATTAAAATATTAAATTATATTTAAATAAATATCTATAAATAATATAATAATAAAACAATTAATAAAATAAACAAATAAATAATAAATAAATAATTAACCTCAATGACCTTCCTTTTATGTTTGATATGAGATTCAAGACTCCTCACCCAACCTCGTGACGCCTTCGTCACGGAGGTTGGCCACGGCTCTGATACTACTTGTCACAAGTCGAGACTTAAGCTCTAAACCTACGTGACTCTGGGACCTGGGCATCCACTCATCCAGTGTCTTAGATTAGCCTACCTGTCTTGGTTCACACTCTTGTGAGGTATTGTCCGCTCTGATCCCTTAGTCTCATGGTTTTGTCCTACAAAAGGTGTCTCATAAGATTGAAGTGGTGTGAACCTTTTTATACCCCAGTGACCTTTCTATTATGTTCGATGTGGGATTCAGGACTCTTCTTTAGGTCCGTGACATTTTTCTGCACCCAACCTTGTGACGCCCTCGTCACGGAGGCTGGCCACCCTGCCTACCTCCCTCGAGGTGCTTGACGTGGATCGAACGATATAGGGCTGGCTTTGATACCACTTGTCATGGTCGAGACTTAAGCTTCGAACCTGCGCGGCTCCGGGACCCGGGCATTCACTCATTCGGCGTCCCAAATCAGCCTATCTGTCTCGATTCTCTTCCTTGTGAGATACCTTTTGTAGGACAAAACTGTGAGACTAGGGAGTCATAATGGATAATACCTCACAAAGATGTGAATCGAGACATGTAGGTTGATCTGGGACACTGGATGAGTGGATGTCCGGATCCCGAAACCGCATGGGTTCGAAACTTAAGTCTCGACTCGTGACAACTTCTGCAACCAATAACTTTTCAACAAAGAATATACTCGGAGAAGGAGGTTTTGGCTATGTCTACAAGGTAACAATATGATAAAATGCCATAAAATTCTAAATGGTTTTTTCTCTTCATTGGTTCCTCATCTTTGCATTTACATCCGTACTCATTACTACACTTTTCTTCCGGTGGATATTTTGAAGTGAATTGTAAATTGTAATAAGGAAAGTTGTCTGCTTTACAATGTACATTTAGTCTTTTACATTCTTTCTGTATGAATCGGCAGCATATTCAGCTTTGTTAAAAACAAACTTTGATTAATGATTATCTGCATTTATAGGGTGTTTTGAAGGATGGACAAGAAATTGCTGTGAAGAGGCTCTCAAAGAGTTCTAGACAAGGACTCAATGAGTTCACAAATAAAGTTAAACATATCGCAAAACTTCAACATAGGAATCTGGTGAAGCTCCTTGGATGCTGTATTCAAGCAGATGAAAAGATGTTGATCTATGAATACATGCCTAACAAGAGCCTGAACTTCTTTATTGGTATGTCTTAGTCCAACGCAGGAAATTTAGTTTATTTGAAATACTTCCTTTATTTACACTTGTCTTAATCTCCCAAATAATTATATTCAGAGATCTAACAAGCAATAAAATGGCTTGACTTGTTTAAAATTTGAGAAGATCAAACTCAAAGCATGTCTCTAGATTGGCCCATGCGCAACCACATTATCAATGGGATTGCTCGAGGGCTCCTTTATCTTCATCAAGATTCCAGACAAAGAATAATACATAGAGACCTGAAAGCATCTAACATTTTATTAGACAATGAAATGAATCCAAAAATTTCAGACTTTGGCTTGGCTAGAAGTTTTGGAGAAAAGGAAACTACAGCAAACACGAAGAAAGTGGTTGGAACATAGTAAGTAATAAGCCTAGAAAAGCAATACATAGTTTAAATTTAAAACTTTTAAACGTGTTTTCTTATTTTTTGTGGTTTTTTTCACAGTGGTTACATGTCTCCAGAGTATGCAATTGATGGACTTTACTCAATTAAATCCGATGTTTTCAGCTTTGGTGTTTTGGTTCTAGAAATAGTGAGTGGGAAGAGAAACAGAGGATTCTGTCATCCAGATCATCATCATAACCTTCTTGGACATGTAAGTGTCAAATGATATTCTTCTTCTATCAAGACGTCAAATTCTACTGTTGTTAAAGCAGTTTTATTTGCATAGGCATGGAGACTATTCTGTGATGGCAATTCCTTGGAATTGGTTGCTGATCCAATTAAGGACACCAGCAATGAATTTGAAGTACTAAGATCAATTCACATAGGCCTATTGTGCGTGCAAAGAAGTCCAGAAGATAGACCCAGCATGTCCAATGTTGTTCTGATGCTAAGTAGTGAAGTTCCATTGCCTCAGCCCAAACAACCAGGATTTTTCACTGAAAGAGATCTGGCTCAAACTAGTTCTTCTTCAGATAATCAGAAAACATCTTGTTCTAATGATTTTGCAATCACAATAGTAGAGGCAAGATAAATGAAATTTTGATGTAGATGTTGAGTTCTATGACGTTGACCTGTTAGAAATGATGGTTGTCATTGTAAGTGTATTTGTTGTCATCTAACTATGCTGGCTGGTTAATTTCATTTATTTTGTTCCCATATCTCATAACAATTTCATAACAGATAATTAGAACCAGTTTCCAAGCTCCTCCTTAGGTGCATTATTGAATGTTGATATCATATTCACCATTTAAGCAAGTCTTTCTTTGTTAGTCACAGGGCTAATCGATCATTTTGCCTTGAATTAAACATCAGAGAACCTTGAATGGGATAAGTCAATTAAACATTTAACCATTCACACATTGAATTTAATGAAGTCTGAGGTGGATTTAGGCCTACTCTACAATTTGAAATGAATTCAAGAAATGTTTAACAATGAAAACATGGAATTCTGAAAATTTCATTGGGTGATGCTGACACTAACAATTCAATCTCTTTTTCTAGAGAATCTTGAATTATAGTGAAAGATGGAAGATGAAAGAAGTTAACATCTAGCTAGGTCACATGTTGGAACAAGAATTCCCACTTCTGTAGAACTTCATTGATAGCAAAATCAGACAACTACCAACCAAAAGGAGAAAAATGAGACAAGTCATGAAAAGAAATCATTGCCATTTATTGTGAAATGTTTAAATGTTTTCCTTTATGCCTAAGAATCCTCCTAAGAATTAGTATCAGTTTGTTACATGATGATCTTTTAGCGTGGCTCTAACACTGTAATGGCAGATTCATTGAGTGAGGACGATTCCTGCTTGCCGAATGCAGACTCAGCTGGTGGCAGATTCCTTTCCAAGAAAAACCCAGGCTGCTTTGGATGAGGCAATGTACTCTCGCCACACAACATTACAAGCACTAATGACATGTTTGGTCTGTCTTCAGGGCGCTGTTGCAGACATAAGAGAGCTACATTGATGCATCTCAACACTTCAGCTGCATTGTAAAAGTCGCCTAATGCATTGTCAATTAGTTCTAATGGCCTCTCTTCAATCCACAATCTCCATGCCTGAAAAATTGAAACTAAAGGTTACATATTGTTCAAAAAAGTAAATTAAAACCATTATGTCTTTAGTCTTACATGTCCAAGGAGATTGTGGTCATGATCTGGATCTGAAAATCCCCTGTTTCGCTTCCCAGTTACCATCTCTAGAACCAATACTCCAAAGCTGAAGACGTCAGATTTTGGTGAGAAATGTCCATCAAAGGCATACTCTGGAGACATGTAGCCACTGGAACATAATGCAAATTGAGAACCTTAGAAGCAACATGGAGTAGATTGCCAAGTACCAACAAAATCTAGGAATACATACTATGTTCCAACCACTCTTTTAGTCTTGGCCTCAGTCTGATCTCCACCAAACATCCTAGCCAATCCGAAGTCCGAAATCTTTGGATTCATACTATTATCTAGTAAAATATTACTTGTTTTAAGATCTCTATGGATAATCCTCAATCTAGAGTCATGGTGAAGATAAAGAAGCCCTCGAGCAATTCCATCAACAATGTGCATGCGCCTATGCCAGTCAAGAACTTTGCTTCTTGTTTTATCTGCATTTTTCAAGTATAATTCTTAGCTCAAAAGTTCAAGAAATTGATGGGACATGACGAGGAGGTAAGGTATATTGAGATTAGTGAGTTCGAACCGAAAATAAAGTAGTCCAAACTTTTGTTTGGCATGTATTCATAGATTAACATCCTCTCCTCTCCCTTAATGCAACAACCAAAAATCTTCACAAGATTTCGATGCTGAAGTTTGGCGATCAGTGTAACTTCATTTTTGAACTCTTCAAGGCCTTGTCCAGAATTCTTTGAAAGTCTTTTCACTGCTATTTCTTGCCCCCCTACCAACATACCCTTGCATTCATAATTTATAAAATATTAAGAAGAATCTAGTGAAGGATAACAAGACAACATTATAACAAGTTGCATCACTACCTTGTACACAGGACCAAAGCCACCGCACCCCAGCTGGTTGTTTTTTGAGAAGTTATTTGTTGCATTGGCTATGGCTGCAAAATCAAACACAGGCAATTCCATCTCTTCCTTCTCTTCAACTGGTCATTCCACAACTAGTGTAAGATGGATCGGGACCTACTGCAATTTATAACAAAGAATTTTGTAATTAAGTCTGCTTACCTTGCTTTTTCTTCCTCACATGCAACACGAATACCAGTATCATCAATCCCGTAGCAATTACAATGGCGATGGATATAATTGCTGCTTTAAGCTTTTCCTTTGACTTCCTTTTGCTTTGAACCCGATCTGATACATATCAAGAATATTCAATGAACAAGGTTTTGAGTTCAGATGAACAAATATGCCATAGTATTTCATGGTGTCCACATCAGAAAGAGAAGTCATCAACTAAGTTGTTTTCATATACTGCAATTGCACATATCCAAACTTATCTTAACATAATAAATTGCAAAATTTAGATAGTGAAGGTCTTACCTAGCTCCGAAACAGCAAGCCGAATATAGAGATCTTGTCCCTCCTCGGTGAATTCTGTCATGTCAGTCAGATCATTAAACCAGATTAAGCATCCTGTTCCTTTCAAAATATCCAAATTTGCATATGCTGTGCAAGAGCAAGTTCTCAAACATAATTCCTCACAGTCTTGGAGGTTCATGCTGTTGTTAAACCAAGAACCCGACGTGTCAGGGAATTTTATCCCGGTGTGCTTTAAAAAGCTATCTTTACCATCGCAAACCAAGGGTGTCCTCCTAATACATCCATCAGACCAATCTACAGAAGTCGAATCTCTGGAAGTCGATGACCTTGGCATGAAGCCTTCCAGGCATGTACATGGAGGAGACTTATTGGTTGTGCAGGTAGCATATGCCCCACAAAAGTTATAGATTGCACATTGATCTGCTTGAGCTGTCGAAAAAATCTTCCAATCATTTTTCCTCTCAATCCACATGAAACGCTGTATAGAACCTAGTGGATTCAATGCATACCTTGAAACAAATGAACTGTTTCGGTGCTCGTATTTGTAATATACCTCATTGTTATTCAAGACAAAGTCATATGTATATACTGAATTTTGTTCAAGACCAGGCTTCCCTGAAAAATAAAGACCATCCCATGACCCTGCTCTAAACACTATTTCTGATCCTTCCTTAAGAATTAATTGTGGATATCCACGAGGATCAATCCTTAAACAATACTGCCCAGGAGCAGGATCTTCTGCACTTTTCCAGGATGATATATACCTCTCAAAACCAGTGATAAAGTTTCTCCCAATCTTCATTCCAGCTAAAAAGTTATCGCAAGGATGATCAAAACTTTCCCACAAAATGGTCTCTAAGTTGTTATCATTTCTTTCTTTCACTACAAGATTTCCTGTCTCCAGGAGCTGTGCTACTGGATTCTGTGCAGTTTTCGATGTATTTGAAGACCAAACAAGACTATTGTTGCTATTCAGAAGAGCAAGAATTCCTTTACTGGTGATACTTAGAACTCCTGACGTATCAGAAACAGGAGCTTCCCTGTTGGCAACCCAAACAACAGTGCCAGCAGATACTTTCTTGTACCATATTCCTACATATCTGTTCTTCGAACTTCCAGGACTAAAAAATCCCAGTTCAAAGCTTCCACCAGCTGATATAAGAGTCTCACCATCTTTTATGGACTGTCCCGGAATAATACTGTCTTGTGCAGAGGTTCCTGTAATAGAAAAGAACAAAAACAAGCACAAAACAAGCTCCATTAGAGCTTTCCGTAGGTTTTCTAAGCATGCATTATTTTTAAATTCAGGTAGGGATTAGGAAAGTGAAGCCAGCCAAAAAAGAGGAACACCCTCATAGGCCCTTTTTGTCACGATTTTTGATCAATTTTGATAAAAAAAATAAACAAATAAATAAATAAGCATGACATTACTTGGAATATCCATTTTAATGCTCAGTTAGAAAAGCATTGCAGCCAATAGTCAAAGTCTAACTCAGTTTTTCTCGTCCAAAGTCATTTGGTTGGGCAGCTGTTATGGACAGCAGCCTATCTTGACCTTTCAAAGTAAACAAACATTAAAAGAAAAATACTAATCTCCATGGATTTTCATGGTCATAGGCTTGAAACTTGAGACAAATATGGATATGAAAAGAAGATTAACATTTCCTAGAGGTTGAGACTTGCATTATTCTTTCATTACAAACAGAGATGAAAAAATAAAACTGAAATGAACTTTCCACTAACTTTCCCGAATAATGGAAAAGGAATATATTTCTCCTTACAAAATTTCCAATTTGGTACTTGCATCAGTTCGATGATAATGCAAAATTGTCAAAACAATCAACGTCAAATATTTCAAAGATGAAAATTACTCGTAAGGAGCTGCTAAAAAAAGGTCTTGTATTGCGTTTTTTGGTTTTCCCATTATTTTTACTCGGTCCCATTTGATGAAAAATTATGATATATATGTAGAGATTCATAACAACTTCTGAGGTGTTATTAACCCAAAAATTTCAAAAGATATCTCACTACTATGTATTTAAGTCTCTAGATATATCGATTATAGTGGATCCTCAAAATACCATGGGATTGGAACGTTACAATATATATACTAGACGAGTCCCATTGATGCAGCTAATTAGTGATTTCCTCAAATAAAACAATCAGAAGTGTGAATGTGTAAAAATCCAGTTGATGTTGCCCAAGGTGGAATAATTAGCCGCAAACTTCACAAGCCTTACCATTTTCAATGAATTCAAGTTTTTTGTTTTTTGACAATCTATTAAATGAACTTTGAAACATTCATGATGTGAACTTTTATATATTCTTACAGCAATTAGAGAAGTTCCTTTATACACTTCTTAGCTCATGACTTTCATGAAATGTATCAGTTCAGTATAATCTTGGTTTAAGCGATAGAATATAAAATGCCAAATAACTTAAAACCTCAAGGAGCAGCATATTGTTTAAACCTTATAGTATCAACATACCAGTGAGGAGGAACTAGAATAATTATAATTTTGAAGTGCTTAACCCGTAGAAATCAATCCTCTTAGATTTTTATGGTATGTGTGACGGTTCTAGCGTGGCTGTAACGACGTAATATTATATCCATGTATTGAGTATGATTCATTCTTGGCTGATATAGAGTCATCCAAAGGCAGATTCCTTTCAATGAAAAAGCCAGGCTGCTTTGGTTGAGGCAATGTACTCTCACCGCACAACATAAGCAGCACTAATGACATGTTTGGTCTGTCTTCTGGGCGTCGTTGCACACATAAGAGAGCTACATTGATGCATCTTAACGCTTCAGCTACAGTGTAAGTGTTGCCTAATGCATTGTCAATTAGCTCTAATGGCCTCTCTTCCACCCACAATCTCCATGCCTGAAAAGATAGAACAACAAATGATATTATAGTTTGAAACAGAAAAAATAAACTGTTATAGCTTAGTTTTAGTGTCTAACATGTCCGAGAAGATTATGGTCACGTTCCGGGTGGGAAAATCCCCAGTTTCTCTTTCCTGTTACTATTTCCAAAACCAAAACTCCAAAGCTGAAGACATCTGATTTCATTGAGAAAAGCCCATCCATGGCATACTCAGGTGACATATAACCGCTGACAAAAAAATGTTAAATTTAGAACCTGAAAAGCAACATGGGCCAATGTACCAGGCAAGTCTTGCTAATATACATACTATGTTCCAACCACTCTTTTAGTATTGGCCTCAGTCTGATCTACTCCAAATATCCTAGCCAAGCCGAAATCTGAAATCTTTGGGTTCATGCTATTATCTAGTAAAATATTGCTTGCTTTGAGATCTCTATGGATGATCCTCATTCTAGAGTCATGGTGAAGATAAAGAAGCCCTCTAGCAATTCCATCAACAATATGCATGTGGCTATGCCAGCCTAGTAATTTGCTTCTAGTTTGATCTGCAATCGACAATAGTCCTTAGCTCCTGGCTATAGCATAAATACTCAGACAAAAAAAAAATAAAAAATAAAAATAATAACAAAATGGGTAACACAAGACTGAGAGGGCTGAAAAAGAAGTTCTAAGATGGAAGGTTCGAACCGAAAATAAAGTAGTCCAAACTTTTGTTAGGCATGTACTCATAGATTAACATCCTTTCCTGTCTCCTGATGCAACAACCAAAGAGCTTTACAAGATTGCGGTGCTGAAGCTTGGCAATCAAGTTTACTTCATTCTTGAACTCTTCCAATCCTTGTCCCGAATTCTTTGAAAGTCTTTTTACTGCTATTTCTTGCCCCTCTATCAACGTACCCTAAATTTTATAGTGTTCAAAAATGTTAAATAGTGAGTGAAAGATAATTTATTGAATACAGCATATATACCTTGTACACAGGACCAAATCCACCTTGTCCCAGCTTGTTGTTGCTTGAGAAGTTATTTGTTGCCATGGCTATGGTTGCAAAATCAAGTACAGGCAACTCTAAATCTTCCTTTTTCTGTTCACCTGGTCACCAATGAACTAGCATAAAATGGATTGACAACTGATTGTAGAACTGTCAATTTTCAAATATAAACAAATGGCTTATATAGTCAGGCATTCCAATTCATTTTTCACAGTCAAATTTGCTCAATTTTCATGTCCAAGAAAATATTAAATTGTTAATAGATATATCTGTTATGTGATATTGCTTTAGTTTGTAACTGAATTAATTTACCTGTTTTTCTAAGCTTTTTCTTCCGAACATACAACAAAAATGCCAGTATCATCATTCCGGTGGCTATTATGACAGAGATAGCTATGATTCCTGCCTTTTGCTTTTCCGTTAGCTTTCCTTTGCTTTGAATGTGATCTGAAAGATTTTAAGAATAATCAGTTGAAAAAAAAGGTTCCAAGTTTGAGAACATCTCCTAAATGTTTGGATAAACTTTAATCTATCTACTGCTAGTTGTTTCTGCAACAATAAATGTAAATCTATTATGTGAAGACTTTCAATGAGGCTGCAAAAAGAATTAAAAAGGGTTATTATAAAATGGTAGAACCTCATTATTTTGAATCCCATTTTCTTTTTCATGCATCAGCAGCAGCAAATGTCCAATTTCATTGATCGGTTCTAAATGTAAAACAAAAATAGAAAATTACCTAGATCTGAAGTGGCCAGCCTGATATAAAGGTCTTGTCCACCCTCATCGAAGTCTGAGATGTCAATCAGGTCTCCAAACCACAGCAAGCAGCCACGGCCTCCCTCTCTGATATCTAAATTTGCGTAGGCAGTGCAAGAGCAATTTTTCAAACACAGTTTCTCACATTCCTTGAGGTTAATTCTAATGTCTGCCCAACATTTCGATGTGTCTGGTATTTTTAATCCAGTATGCTTGAGAAAGCTATCTCCACCATCACACAGCAATGGAGTCCTTCGAGTACATCCATCTGACCAATCAACAGAATTCGAATCTCCGTGAGATGCTGATCTGCGTACGAAACCTTCCAAGCATGTACATGGAGGAGACTTGTTGGCGCTGCAAGTAGCATATGCTCCACAAAAGGCATAAATGGAGCACTGATCTGCTTGTGCTGTAGAGAAAATCTCCCAGTCATTTTTTCTCTCATTCCATATGGATCGTTGTACTAGACCTGATGGATTCAACAAGTACCTTGAAAAGATCGAACTATTTCGAGTCTCATATTTGTAATAGACCTCATTCTTGTTGTAAACGAATTCATATGAATAAACTGGATTAGCCTTAAGCACTGGTTTTCCTGTAAAATAAACACCATTCCATGATCCTGCTCTGAACAATATTTCAGGTCCCTTCTTAATAACAAACTGTGGCCAGCCCCGAGGATCTAACCTGATAGAATATAGGCCTGGTGCAGGATCTTCTGTGCTTTTCCAGGATGATATATACCTATCAATACCAGAGACAAAGTTTATTCCAATCTTCATTCCTGGTAGAAATGTATCCGAAGGATAATCAAAGCTCTGCCAAAGGAGGTTTTCCTGATTACTATCATTTCTATCTTTGACCACAAAATTTCCCGACTCCAGGAGTTGTGCAACCGGGTCTTGAGCATTTCCTGATGTATTGGAAGACCAAACAGTGCTTTGGTGGGTGCTATTCAGAATTGCAAGAATCCCTCTGTCATTGATACTTAGAACTCCCGATGTGTCAGAAATAGAAGCTTCCCTGTTGGCTACCCATACAACAGTCCCAGTTGATACTTTCTTGTACCAAATTCCTAGATATCTACTCTTAGAACTTCCGGGACTGAAAAATCCAAGTTCAAAGCTTCCACCAGCTGACACAAGAGTTTCACCATCTTTTATGGATTGTCCTGGAGTAATCGTGTTTAGTGCCAAAGGTCTTCTAGTAAAGAAGAGAAGCAAACACAAAACAAGCTCCAGTAAGAAGGCTTCCATTTATATTCTAATAATGGATTTTTTCTATTCAGACATTAATAATTGATGCAACGAGGAGTTAGAACAGTAAAACCTAGTTTTTTGTTGGTCCTTTTCCAAGTTTTAAATGTTAATTGATATTCATTTATGCTATTATTGACTTTTTGCTTAGGAACATGACAAAAAAATTGATCAGTTTAACTTTAATAATAATTGAACTATACTAACACCAAAGTCCTTCAATTTATTAAGAGATTAATTAGTAAAAAAAAAGATTAAGGTATTAAATGAAAAAAAAAACTAGCTATCGAAAAACAAAAAAGAAATGAGAATTCTTCTTTTTCATCTTTCATAGGGTTAGAGAATATGAAGAATCAAATCAACGATTCAAAATTAAAGACTACAACCAAGTTAATCTCCTAAAAGTGAGTATATACCATCTTTTTATTTAAGAAAAAATATCATATTGATTGTTATTACATGGAGTTAAAGTTTTGAGAGAAAAATCAAGAAAATTATAAAATCAAGAAAATTATAAAATCTTTCATTAATCTTCATGAACTATTTGGGTAAATTACTATGCTTTGTTTATTTCATGTTCTTAAGATTTATTGATGATTATTGAATGGAATTTAAAGGTTGAAAGTGAGGATTTGGATTTTTAAAAATTGAAGGAGAAATTATGTTTTTGGATGAGATACTATGATCTAGAATAGTAAATTAAACTAGAATTCTGTATTAATGGATAGATTATTGCTAAGGTTATTATATGTCATTGGAAAGCTTGTTGAATATACTTTCTATTGAAACAAATGAAAGCTGAATTCAAGTTTTCTATGAAGAGTTGTCTAATTTTTACTTAAGGATATACAGGCTGTAAGGCAACATCATCTAACGTGAATTACAAAAATTGTTATAATTAATCCACAAGGAATCACGAGATGGGCCATATATGGTTAGAAAGCTTATCGAGTCTAGCTTCTAATGCATTAAAAAGATTTTAATTTTGAGTTAGATATCTTGAGATATGATTGTTTTAGTAAAAATAGTGCAGGCTGCCAGAATTAGTTGCTCGAGTTAATTCTTGTTTAACTTAATTGTTTTGGTATAAGCGGTCTCAAATGGGTTAATTAATTACTGTTATGTTGAAATTATCTTGAATAAGCCCTTAATTATTTGGGAAGAAAAACTAGGTGGTGGAATCGAAATGAGGTAACTAGAATCTCACACATTTTGCTTATTTTTAAATCTATGTATATATGTATGTTTCTAAATGAATCAATATTTTATTTCATTATTTTTTATATATGAAAATATGATTAAGCATATGATTATTTTGCATTTTTCTATATAAACGATGAATCATGTTTATGAATGAAATGAGAAAATGATTTATATTTAAAGAACAATTTTATGATAGCTACGTTTTTACATATCTGGGAAGTGAGATCATCGATACCAGAACTAGTTCTACGACCTTAGTTAACGGGTAATAGTAGTTAGCAAAGACATGATTATACGACCCTGACTAATTGATAATAGTAGTTAGCGTAAGGCCCTGGCTAACCGATTATAATAGTTAGCAATGATATGAGAATGAAATTATCGATACGACCAATGTCATGGGTTATAGTAGTGACCGTAGCTAATGATAAACGAATGATAATGATGATTTATGATGATTTTAAACATTGATTCATAGTTTGTATTAAATATGTATTTGATCGTGATTTGTGATTTATAATTGATGAATTGAAATGTTTTGACATTATGGTTTGATGACTATTTTGAATAGTTTATATGATATGTATGAAAATAATGTTTGATATGATAAGATGTATGAGCCTATACTTGCTGAGTTGTGGTTTGCTTATTCTCCTTTTACTTTTTCTTTACAGATGAATAAGTGATAAGTTTGCTTAGTTTTGTGAAAACTAGAAGATCAAATGGAAAATATTACTTAGTCGTCAAAGATAATATTGGCTAATGAGATCTTATAAAATGGTTTGTATTTTTATATGGTTTGTGTTTGGATATATAGAGATGTATCATTAGTTAGATTAAAGATATAGATTTTACTTGGCAGATTATATCAGTTTATTAAAGAATTTTAAAATGATTAAGAAAGAAGGCTTTGTATTACTTTAATGTTTACTTCAAGGTAATATGGCCATGTTGTGTCTTGATCTTGATGGGTGACATAAAGTGGTATTAGAGCTTAAGTTGCGATCTTTAAAGAACTTTTAAGAATTAGATTATGATGAGATTTTCTTTAAAAGCTTAAGTTATGTTTCTTAAAAAATTTTTAGGAGTACAGGTTATGATCTTTAAACTATGTGAGATGTTAAAGAGCTTATATTATGATTTTGAGAATTTTCTAAGAACTATGAGATTATGATATTTGGAGATTTCTAAAAGATTAAATTATGATCAAGGGATTAATGGTGATTTTCAAAGAATGTAGCTTATGATCCTTGGATTGAAAGAAATGTTCTATGAGCATAATTATGATCCAAATACTATATGAGGATTTTTAAGAATTTAGATGATGACTTATGGATAATGTGATGATTTTTCAAAGACTTAACTTTAATCCATAGACTATAGTGGTGAGTATAAGTAAATGATTCGATGAATTTTGGATTAGTTAAAGTTTCAATAAATATTGAGGAATCAATGATTCAATGAATTCTTGGTGTAATTATTTTGGTTTATATTTACATATTGCTTTTGGATCTTATAGTCAAGAGAAAGTGTAATTACTTTGATATAGTGCGATTTTATAAGTTAAAGAGATTTTTGATGCGACTTAGGATGAAACATATCCTATGAGCTAATGGATTATTTAAGAAAATGATTTGATCATTAGAGATCCTATGGGTTAGAGAAAAAGACATTTGATTTAATGAGATTTTGAAATTATTTGATAAGTATTAAGTGAATCCTTGATCATGGATTAAGATTGGACTATGAGTGTACATTGTTGGAATTAAAAGTATAGAATATTAGAGTTTGAATGGAATAATGTTTTGAAATTTTGAAGTAATTATTTATGAGTTATAATGTTTGAGAATTTGTCTTGATGGGTTTAGTCCAAAATGTGATAATTGTGGTAAATAGTTTAATATACGTAAAGAAGGATATTCACTTGATTTGATTCTATATTTTTATTGAGAAAGTATTTAAGATTTGATTATGTGAGTTGGACATTTATATAGTTAATTTGAAGTTTGATCATTAAATTCATATTTGGGGTGTATTGAGTTTTTTTTTAATGGCTAAAGTGATTAATTTGTAGTTATGGTTTCTAATTAAAGTATACTATTGGATTCCTTCGAATTTTATATTTATGGAGAACATTGCCTATTGTGATACAAGGTTGTCTACTTAGCAACGAATTAAATTTGTGGATAAAAATTAAAATTGTGGTTATCTAGATGATTTAGTAAGGAAGTTAGTTTTGAATGATAATCAATTTACAGAAAAATATATATGTTTTGGTTAAGAATGATTGTTAAAAATCTTACAAGGGCAAAATATTGTTTGAAATCTTACAAGTGATGATTTTATGTACTTGGTGATATTGAGAATGTATTTGATTTTAGAGAAGTTTGGAAAAAAAAAACAAATAACTTCTGAAATAATGTGATGCATTTGGTTATTGTTCATAACTATATTTTCAGCATAAATTCAAGTATTTGGAGTTTTTATTGTTTAAATTCTATAAGAGAATTTTATTTATGGATTATGATGCATAGGTTTTGGCTTTGACTTGGAGATGATAGCAATATATTTGGTAAAATAAAAATTGAGACATTATGATGTTTGTGAGGATTATGAAGAATAAATTATTATATGATAATTGATCTATTAAATCAAAAAGAATAATATTCGAAATTGGAGACAACTTTGATAATTAGAGATTTATGTTTGAATTTACATGGTGTAAATTTATGGATATGATTTATCACATTGATTTCATATGTATTCTAATGATTCATTAATAGAAAATTTAATATTGTCAGTGAAAAAAAAAATTAAAGTACTATTTGATTTCTTTTTTTTTTTTTGTGACTACAGGATTTGTTGATACTATTATTCAATGTTGAGGTTGTATATAGTTATGAAAACCCGGCGTAAAGAGAATTATATGAAAATTTGTAGACATATGTTTTCTCATTATAAAACAATGTTATGAAAGTTAATTTGTTAGAATTTTATTGGAAGAAAATATTATAGTGCACAGTGGAAGTCTAATTTGATTTAAGTTCTAAATTTTTATGCTATTATTAGTTGAGAAAGTGATGAATCTTTAATAAATAAAAACTAATGGATTTTGGGTAAGAATATTTTGTGTTCCTTTCATTTTTAAGGCTTTATCGTTGGTTGACATTCTTTTAAGATATGCTTATGTCATGACTTGAAGATAAATATTTTATAATGATAGTCATAAGATAAATATTCAATTATTCATTTTGAGGTTTTGTATGGAAGTAGATCTAAATCTTAGACTTATTGGCATAAGGACAAAGAAGAAAAGCTTTTATTTTTTGAATTTATGAAACAAATGATTGATAAATTTTGGTTGATTAAAGAATGGTTTAAAGTAAGCACAATAATTATACTAGAATTCAGAGATATGATTTATAGCTTCAAGTGGTTAATCATTTTACTCGTTATGAGGATTACAAAGTAAGAAAGGTTAAGTTTGCAATATGTAAGGACATTTGAAGTTCTTTGTAAAGTGAAAAAAGTTCAAAATAAAAAATACTGTCACCTCTGATTTCTAGTATACATGATGAATCTATGTTAAGAGAATATCTTCATAGAAGCTATGTGGTTAGATATGAGTATTTAGAAATTCAAGATGATATAAGTTTCAACATATTGAAAATATCTTCTTCGAATGATTGATTGGAAAGAACAAGTTTTGAGACCAAATGATTACTTTTGTCAAAATTTAATGAAACAATCATACGATAAGAGATGTGATTGCAAAAATGGAGGAATAAGATGTGGACATAAATCAAGTTTCGAGGATGAAACTTTTTATAAGAAGGGGAGAATGTAATACCCTAGCCCAAATAATAATTAGGTTAGACTAATACCAAAGCCCATTAGTTTATTAAGAGATTAATTAGTAAAAGAAAAAGGGCTAAGGTATTAAATGAAAAAAAACCTAGCTATTGAGAAACAGAAAAGAAATAAGAGTTCTTCTTTCTCATCTTCTTTAGGGTTAGAGAATATGAAAAATCAAGTTAGCGATTCAAAATTGGAGACTATAACCGAGTTAATCGCCTAAAGGTGAGTATATACAATCTTTTTATTTAAGAAAAAATATCATGTTGATTGTTATTACATAGAGTTAAACTTTTGAGAGAAAAATCAAGAAAATTATAAAATCTTTCATTAATCTTCATGATCTATTTGGGTAAATTACTAGGCTTTGTTTATTTCACGTTCTTAAGATTTATTGATGATTATTGAATGGAGTTTAAAGGCTAAAAGTGGAAATTTGAGTTTTTAAAGATTGAAGGAGAAATTACGTTTTTGGATGAGATACTATGATCTGAAATAGTGAATTAAACTAGAATTCTGTATTAATGGATAGATTATTGCTATGGTTATTATATGTCATTGGAAAGCTTGTTGAATATACTTTCTAATGAAACAAATGGAAGTTGAATTCAAGTTGTTTATGAAGAGTTGTCTAATTTTTACTTAAGGATATGTAGGCTGTAAGGCAACATCATTTGACATGGATTTCAAAAATTGTTATAATTAATCAACAAGGAATCACTAGATGGGCCATATATGGTTAGAAAGTTTATCGAGTCTAGTTTCTAACACATTAAAAAGATTTTAATTCTAAGTTAGATATATTGAGATATGATCATTTTAGTGAAAGTAGTGCAGGCTACCAAAATTAATTACTCAAGTTAATTCTTGTTTAACTTAATTATTTTGGTATAAGCAGTTTCAAATGGGTTGATTAATTATTGTTATGTTGAAATTATTTTGAATAAGTCGTTAATTATTTGGAAAGAAAAACTAGGTGGTGGAATCAGAATGAGGTAAGTAGAATCTCACATACTTTGCTTGTTTTTAAATCTATGTATATATATATATATGTTTCTAAATGAATCAATATTTTATTTTGTTATTTTTGATATATGAGAATAAGATCAAGCATATGATTATTTTGTATTTTTCTATATAAACGATAGATCATGCTTATGAATGAAATGAGAAAATGATATATGTTTAAAGAATGATTTTATGATAGCTACGTTTTTACATCATTGAGAAGTAGGATCATTGACACTAGAACTAGTTCTACGACCCTAGCTAATGGGTAATAGTAGTTAGCAAAGACATGATCATACAATTCTGGCTAACATGTAATAGTAGTCAGCGTAAGGCCCTAACTAATGGTTTATAATAGTTAGCAATGATCATGAGAATAAAATTATTGATACGACCAATATCACGGGTTATAACAGTGATTGTAGCTAATGATAAACGAATGATAATGATGATTTATGATGATTTTAAATATTGATCCATGATTTGTATGAAAATATATATTTGACCATGATTTGTGATTTATAATTGATGAATTGAAATGTTTTAACATTATGGTTTGATGATTATTTTGAATACTCTATATGATATGTATCAAAACGATATTTGATCCGGTAAAGTATTTGAGCCTATACTTGTTGAGCTATGGTTTGCTCATTCCCTTTTTATTTTTCTTTACAGATGAGTAAGTGATAAGTTTGCTTAGTTTTGTGAAAGCTAGAAGATCAAATGTGAAAGATTACTTAGTCATCAGAGAGAATGTTGTCCAATGAGATCTTATAAACGGTTTTATATTTTTATATGGTTTGTTTTTGGATATATAGATATGTATCATTAGTTAGATTAAAGATATAGATTTTACTTGATAAACTATATTAATTTATTGAAGAATTTTAAAATAATTAAGAAAGAAAGTTTCGTATTACTTTTAATTTTATTTCAAGGTAATATGACAGTGTTACGTCTTGGTTTCGGACTGTGACATTTAGTTTATCGATTCTCATTTATCTATCTATATGCTTAAATTGTTGGACATAAATTTTTGTATATTTCTATCAAGGTGTGCTCCAATCCTACTTAGTCAAGAATCAACATTTATCCAAAGTGCAACAAGTAACAATATGATACATGTGAACAATACCATATATATGAATAGTGATAGATTCTTTTTCATTTGGATCGATCACATAAATTTTGAACATCAATAAAGAACATAGAGAATACCAACAATATATGTAATTTGGCATCATGCCTACATCTACCACAAAGAAAATAATCACTATCAAAGAATAGAGATTACAATGGTTACATTGGCCCATACATGCCTGATTTCAACATGAACTCACTCTCTAAGATTATACAAGTGTTTTCCTTTATCTTAAGATGGATATTATAAACCTCAAAATATACCATCCACTCTTGAACTACATGGCACACCTCTTTTGACACTACTTTGGTGCTCTCACCAAGTTTTTTAAGCCATTTTCAAGCACATTTTCAGCTTCCAGGCAAAATTTTCTTCATTTACTGTAGCAGTCTACTATCACTATAGGAATTGGTAGTTATCACCCAACTTACGAGATATTATTTATTTTGATTCGAAAATCTCATAATTTTATCTCACAAAAAATATCTCATAAATTAAGGATTAAATCCTAACTTATATATATCATATCATATCATATTTACACATTATTTTAATGCGAGATTGGAGCATTACATTTTCACATAATTCTAAATGTTCTGCTTTCCAACTAATGATACTGTAGCAGACAGCAGTACTGTAGCAGCGGCGGTACCATAGCACAAGTCAAAAAATACATGTTTCACATTCGGTTGAATTTTCTAGTCATTTCCCAACAATTTCAACAAATGAAGGCCAATCAGTCATAGTTTCTATATTTTTCTGAATGCTGGAGATTCATTGAATAGACAATAAGTTCATTTGCGTTACTCAACTGGAAACATCTAAGTCTATTGATATGGACCATAAACAAAAGATTGAAAAAGAAATGTGAAAGCAGAAATAACATTGAAAAAGTTGCTGCATGGACCATAATTTTTACGTTGCTTACTGTCTGGTAGTCAAGTCAGACTTTGCATTTTTCATTTGCCTTTCAGGGTGTGCTGCTCGCACATTCCCCACCAGATTTTGAGATAAGGTGATAAGGGATTGGTTGGTTTTGGTTTTATTTTTTCCGGTTAAAGCATAGTATCAAAAACTGATCCGAATTACAAAAGAAGATAAAAATTATGGTTTTGATTGTTTCAACAGCATCTTGGATAGTTCCGGTTTCTAGGCCATATCTTCGTCACATGGTAACAGAAAGTTGTAGATGCAACAGTTCTGGTTTGGCTGGGGAAGTATACGCAAATATATCAAGCAAAACAAGCTAAAAACCTAGAGTGATAGCTATTTTCTTCAGGTTTCTTTTTAAAAAAACTATCCTGCAATGGTGCCAAATGATAGTGAAAGAAGATGCAGAACTTTCTGTAATAGAAAATGTTTCAAAATTTCAATTAATTCATAGAGTCACCATAAAAAATTTTCATGATATATTGCTCTTCTATCTTGCCTCTAACAATGTAATGGTGAATTCATTTAATGAAGATGATTGTTCGCCAGATCTCTTATCAGCCGAAGGCAGACTCTTTTCAATGAAATAACCAGGTTTCTTTGGTTGAGGCAATGTACTCTCACCACCCAACATGAGTAACACAGATGACATGTTCGGTCTGTCTTCTGGGTGTAGTTGCACACATAAGAGAGCTACATGGATACATCTTAAAACTTCAGTTATAATGTAGAAGTCCCCTAAAGCTTTGTCGATTAGTTCTAATGGCCTCTCTTCTGTCCACAGTCTCCATGCCTGAAAATTTTTAAATGCAAATGATTTGTTAGCTTGAAATAGAAATTTAATATGTGACATTTATGCTTACATGTCCTAAAAGATTGTGGTCATGATCTGAGTAGCCCCTGCTTCTCTTCCCTGTTATTATCTCCAATATCAAAACTCCAAAACTGAAGACATCCGATTTCGTTGAGAAACACCCATGAAAAGCATACTCTGGAGACATGTAACCACTGGAAAATGATTCCATATGAGAAACTTAAAACCAACGCAGAAAATTATGAATGAAATCTACTGAAACATACTATGTTCCAACCACCCTTCTTGTCTTGTCCTCAGTCTTATCTCCACCAAACGTCCTAGCCAAGCCGAAGTCTGAAATCTTTGGATTCATACTATCATCTAGTAATATGTTACTGGCTTTTAGATCTCTATGGATAATCCTTAGTCTCGAGTCGTGGTGAAGATAAAGAAGCCCTCGAGCAATTCCATCTATAATGTGCCTGCGCCTATGCCAGTCCAGCAGTCTGTTTCTTGTTTTATCTGCAATCAAGAATTAAACCTTAGCTGCATTCTCAATTGATTTTCAGATTAAAAGTTGAAAAAAAATGTACTAAGATTACTGAGTTCAAACCAAAAATAAAGTAGTCTAAACTTTTGTTGGGCAAGTATTCGTAGATTAGCATCCTTTCATCTCCCTTAATGCAACAACCAATTAGCTTTACAAGATTGCGGTGCTGAAGTTTCACAATAAGTGTAACTTCATTTTTGAATTCATCCAATCCTTGTCCAGAATCCTTTGAAAGTCTCTTTACTGCAATTTCTTTTCCCTCTTTCAACATACCCTTTCATCATTCATTGAGTGCAAAATGTTAAAGAAATATGAAATGAAAGATATTTCAACATATAATCGAAGATAACCGACAGAATATTACTTCATTACCTTGTATACATGTCCAAAGCCACCTTGTCCCAGCTTGTTGTTGCTTGAGAAGTTATCTGTCGCATTAGCTATAGTTGCCAAATCAAATAATGGCAACTCAATCTTTTCCTTATGTTTACCTGGCCATTCAAGAATTATAATAAGAATCATTGGCTAATGATCTCAATGTCATATCTAATCTGATGGTATGATCCCCTAATATGAATTTCTTGCAACAAACTAATATCATGTAACCAGCTTGTTTACCTTCCTTGCAAAGAATTTTCTTTCGAATGTATAACAGAACCATTATTACCATCATTCCTGCAGCTGTTATGATGGAGATGGCTATGATTACTGCCTTCTGCTTTTTCTTTGACTTCATTTTTCTTTGAATTTGATCTGAAAATTGGACACACAAAGATTCAGCAACGCAGGTTTTGAGTTCAGCAACATATCCCAAGCTTTTCAGTAAAATTTCAGGCAAATCCGCTTCAGTTTTTGCAAATCTATGAACTTAAAAGTTAATCCAGGGTGTCTTTATAATTTATTATTGAGGAAAAACCCCATAATTACCAATTCCATGTTATTTTCATTTATTGCTACTGAACTTAGGCAAACTTATCTTACAGAATAAGAAAAATGCTGAAGTTTAAAGAAGTTAAAGAACTGCTACCTAGCTCTGACTTAGCAAGCCGAATATAGAGGTCTTGCCCATCCTCGTTGAATTCTGTCATGTCAATCAATTCATTAAACCAGAGCAAGCAGCCAGTTCCTTTAATGATATCTAAATTTGCATATGCCATGCAAGAGCAGTTTCTCAAGCACAATTCCTCACACTCCTTGAGAGACATGCTGTTGTTAGCCCAAGATTTTGAAGTGTCTGGCAACGCCAACCGAGTGTGCTTCATAAAACTGTCTCCACTATCACAAGCCAGTGGTGTCCTTCTAATACATCCATCTGACCACTCTGCTGAATTCCAATTACCAGAACTTGGAGATATGGGAACAAATCCTTCCAGGCATGCACATGGAGTAAACCCATAAGAGTTGCAGCTAGCATATGCTCCACATAAGCCATAGACAGCACACTGATCTGCCTGCGCCGTAGAGTAAATCTCCCATTCTTGTTTTCTCTCATTCAATACGAAACGCTGCATGAGACCTGATGGGTTCATTGCATACCTCGAAATAACTGAAATGTTTTTGGTCTCACATTTGTAGTACACCTCATTCTTATTCAAGACAAACTGATATGAATATAGTGGACTTGGTTTAGCACTTGGTTTCCGGTTTGAAAAATAAACACCATCCCATGACCCTGCTCGAAAAACTACTTCCGATCCTTTCCTAACAACTAATTGTGGGACTCCATGGGGATCTATTCTTAAAGAATATTGCCCTTGAGCAGGATCATCTGTACTTTTCCAGGACGATATATACGTTTCAAAACCGGTGACTAAGTTCTTTCCAATCTTCATTCCTGGTAAAAAGTTATCACAAGGATAATCAAAACTTTGCCACAAAAGGTTATCTGGATTGTTGTCATTTCTGTCTTTCACTACAAGATTTCCCGACTCCAAGAGCTGCAAAACAGGATCCTGGACAGTTCTTGATGTGTTGGAAGACCAAACAACGAGTTTTGTGCTATTCAGAAGTGTGAGAATTCCTTGGTTACTGAAATTTAAAACTCCTGATGTATCAAAAACAGGAGCTTCCCTGTTGGCTACCCATACAACAGTCCCAGTAGAAACTTTCTTGTACCATAACCCAACATATCTACTCTTCGAACTTCCTGGGCTAAAAAATCCCACCTCAAAGCTTCCACCAGCTGATATAAGAGTTTCACCATCTTTTATGGACTGTCCTGGAGTAATAATTTCCAGTGTGGAGGCTTTTAAAATGAAGGAGAACAGAATCAAGCACCAGACAACCTCCATTAATGAGAAGTCTTACAATGAATTACCGATGATAGAGGGAGGAGTCTATGAATGTAAAACAAGCTAAAAAGTCGGTAGTCTTTGATGGGCTGTGGACTACAAACATGCGCTCTTTTGACCGTTTATGATAATTTTCAAACTTTGATGAGGAAAATGCTCAAAGAAGGTTCTATTTGTTTACTTTGACTGAACCACAACAATTCCTGCTTCATTTAAGTTATCAAATCCACTTTTTTCTCGGGATATTAAATGTGAGAAATATTTTTAACATAATAAAAGATGAATAATTAAATATGATATTTAATTGAGGAAATGAAAAATCAAAGTTTTAGAAGATTTCAAACAAGCTTTGAAATCAAGAATAAGCTGAAAAAGTGAAGTTTAGCTAAAGGTAATCAAATGTCATCATAGGTATTGGAATATCAGCTTTCTATTTGGGGGTATTGGAATCTCATCATAGGACATTCAAGTGTCCACTTACTGTTTCAGGATAGGAGATTAGTGTAATACTCGTAATATACAAATATATCATTTATATATAAAAGTATAAACTCTAAAATTATTAAAAATGAATGACATAAATACCCTTATAAATTTTAAGAAATAATAAATTTATCTTTAAATTTCTAGCATTTTTTTATTTATGTATTAAAGATTATTTTTCATTAAATATAGTATTTATTATTTAATTATTTAAATTAATCCAAAAGTGTTAAAAGTTAACAGCATAAATACCCTTATAAATTTTAAAAAATAACAAATTTACCTTTAAATTTCTAGCATTTATTTATTTTTTTATTTAATAAAAATTATTTACCATTAAATATATAGCTTTTTATTTGTTAGTTATTTAAATTTAAATCAATTAAAAATTTATGAATAGAATTTATATCAAATTAAACTACATTAAAAATTTATTTGTGGGATATGGTGAATGTATTGTTGAAAATTAACCCAAATTTACTCTTTTTTTTTTTTGTAGGATTCTTTTTTGTTCAATTTCATAAGTAATAATTCAATTAAATTCATATAAAACATATTTCTCATCCTATAGGTTATAGCATACTATGAGTCCGTGACATTGAACAAAGCTTAGACAAAATCTTTTCTCTTGTTGCTTAATTAGTCATTATTTTAGTTTAAATTATTATATTGTAACGTTTATGCCCCAAAAACATTTAATTTTATTTTAAGTAAAACATATAATTTTTCTTTTTCAAGATACAACCTAATTTACTCTTTATCTTTGTTAATAGTACATATCATGAGTCCTTAAATATATTTATATTTTTTATTTATTTAATTTAGATCAATTAAAATTAAAGTTCATGCAAAATTATTAATTAAATTATCAAAAATTATTGAGAAAGAGCAATACATGTATTGTGGTAAGTTTGTATGTTTGATTTTTTTTAAATTTTTTATGATAATATACATTTATATGTTTAATGATTACAATAGTTGATTTATTTTACTATAATATTTCTAATCACTTTATGCAATTACGTTTTAACTTTACAATGCCTAAATGAATCTTTGCTTTATGAACATAATATCCCATATATATGAGTTGTTACTAAACTTAGATTTTATTTTGTTTTCTATAGATTGATTCTATATTACATCCAAGTTAATTTTAGTCAATCATTATTTTTCTATTTTTAATTTAAAATATTTTGTACTTAAGATATTTTTATAAAACCACAGTTAATATTGTTAAGAAATATTAATTTTGAAGAAGAGAAATTATTTGATATAATGTTAGTTGAGTTTTTTTTTTTTTTAATTCCACAAGTGGGTTAAAAAATTAACACATCACTCACTTACTTTTTCAATTAGGTTTTTTTTTTTTTTTAATATCACTCACTTATTTTTTCAATTAGCCTTTTTTAATATACTCAAAAGCTTAAAGGGTATATGTGTTACGTTACTAATTTTAATTGTGAAATTTAAAAACTCTACTATAAATATATTTTATAATTTTTCCTTGAATAATATAAATTTAATTTTTTTTCAATTAAAAATGCTCTAGAATAGTGAAAAATATTTTAATCACATGATTAATTATGCATGTTTTGTTGAATGATCAAAGCTTTGTTAGTTTTGTAACCAATTATTATATTCTTTGAATCAATAATGTTATAGTTTATTTTCTATTATTTGTTTATATTTTTTAAGTATATGATTATTAATTTGTATTCTTATCATGAAAGCATCTATTTAATAATTATTTGTACTTTATGAGTGTGTTTATTATAGATAAATACATGTATCATCTATGATATATATGTATAAAAGTGTGAACTATAAATAATATTAAAAATAATTTTTTAATTTGGTACACTACTATTAATAATACATTGTATGCCAATCATGTGTGTCCAACCAGTTCTTTAATTCATAAAGAAAGACTTATAATTAAACTCAGTAGTTACATAATAAAAAATTTCAAGTATAAGGATATGAAATAAATATGTTTATTTATATAATCTTACAACTAAGATCATAAATTAATTCAATTGATAATATTAAATTATATATATACAAGAATTAAAAAAATGAATCAATTAATATTTCATATAGATCATAAAATTATTAAATGAGTCTGTTTTATTACTCAATAGGTCAATGTATCATAATATATATGAAAATGATTAAAAAAATAAATGTGTTGAATGATAAATGATAACATGACCTTTTAATTTTTTTCTCTTAATGTGTAAAAAGTGCTCCACTTGGAATTTAGCCAACTTTACTATAAAAAAATTTATTTAAATTTTAGCTAAATATTTATAATACTCACAAACATATACATACTTTAGATTTTATAGCCTACCTTAAATAAGACATTCTATAGTTAAGAAAATGTTTAATATATATCTATATTATATGTAAAATGTGGTAATTTATTAAATTCTCTCTATTTATTTTTATTTAATATTTTTTAGTAAATTAAAATATTATCTACTTTTTATTTATTTTCTTATTAAAATAGTTTTTCTTTGGTTAAGTCATTGATGCCCCAGTTAATGCAAGCAATACAGCTAGAAGGCTTAAAATAGTTTTTCTACAAATAAACGATTTATTGTTTATAATATATTACACATATCAATATGATTTACACAATTAAATTAATTATAGAAGATTTAATAATAAATCAAATATAGCTTAGTAGTAAATGTATAATAATATAGTAGCAAATTATTGATAATTTTGTTATAAATTAGTGATAATTTAGACAAAATCAATAATAACTTTATATTAAATTAATTATAATTGTATAGTAAATTATGAAAAACTTAATAGTAAAATAATAATAACATAATAGTAAATAAATAATAATTTAATAATAAATAATTGATAAAATAGTGTGTAATAACATAATAATAAATACATAATAATATAGTAGGAAATAAAAAATAATTTCATAGTAAATCATTTATACATAATTGTAAATATATAATAGATATTAGTAAATTAATAATAACTTAATAAAAAATAAGTGATAACTTAGTAGTTAATTATTGATAATTTAGTAATAAATCAATGATAACTTAATAGTAAATTAATGATAACTTAATAGTAAATAAGATTCAGTTTAATACTTATTCTACCCCAATAAAATTGTCACATTTTGATTTTTGTTGGTCAAATTTTTTCAATTTTAATCACCTATTATTTTTTATTTATTATTGATAAAAATATGAAAAAAATATTTTAAAAACTTTAAATGAAGTGGTTTCTAAATATATGTTTTGTAAAATTTAATTTATTAAAATATTTAAAATAATAAATGTCAAAGTTAGAAAATTTTAACAAAAAAAATCAACTGTGACAATTTAACTAGAACAAATAAAGAGAGTAGTAATTAATTGACAAATTTAGTAATAAATTATAAATAGCCTAGTAATAAATCAATGATAATTTAATAGTAAATAATTTATAACAAGTAGTAATTATTAATTAAAAATTAAAAGTAAATTAATATAACTTAATAGTAATTATCGGTAAATTAATATTTAATCAATAATAATTTAGTATAGTAAATTAGAGATATAACTTAATAGTATATCAATTATAATTTAACAGTAAATTAATAATAATATAATAGTCAAAGTACAATAACTTAATAATAAATAAATTATAACGTAATTGTAAATGCATAATATAATAGTTGTAAATTAATAATAACTTTATAAAAAAAAGATAACTTAATAGTTAATCATTGATAATTTAGTAGTAAATCAATGAAAATTTAGTAGTAAATTAGTGATAGCATAATAGCAAATTTATTTTAGTTTAATAGTAATTAAATTATAAATTTAGTAGTAGATCATAAATAACTTAGCGATAAATTAATGATAATTTAATAGCTAATCACTTAAACTCGGTGATAAATCAATGATAACAAAGTAGCAAATACATAACACTATAGTAGTAAATCACTAATAATTTAGTAATAAATTATCGAAACTTAGTAGTAAATCACTAATAACGTAATAGTAAAACATTGATATTTTAATTGTAAATCATTGATAATTTATTTATAAATTATTGACAATTTAGTTATAAATTAGTTAATTATTAATAACTTTATAGTAAATTAGTAGTAACATTATAATAAATTATTAATAACTTAATAGAAAATTATCAATAATTTAGTAATAAATCTTTTATAACTTAGAACTAAATCATTTATAACTAAGTGATAAATCATGATAATTTAGTAGTAAATCAGTAGTAAGGTAATAGTAAGTCACTAACAACTTATTTGTTAATTAGTGATAACATTTTTTTTATACTTAAAGTTACTAATGATTGAACCTTGGTTACTAGAAAGAGAAAAGGATTAGGATAAACCTACCATGAACTTTTTCATTAAAAAAAATTTTGCAAAAAAATTATAAATTTGAATAAAACAATAATGTTATATTATATAAAAAAAATTATCTCATATATTCTAATTAATTGATAAAATTAATAGTATATCATAAATAACTTAGTGGTAATTCAATGATAATTTAGTAATAAATAATTGATAACTTAATAGCTAACTATTGAAAACTTAGTAATAAATAAATGGTAATGAGTAAATGCATAATAATATAATAGTAAATCATTGAATTT